TGTTTGAATATAATATTTGTTGGCAATCAGTACTAGTATTAATTTTAATATATTATTTAGATATTTAAATATAGTTTATAGTGAACTGTTTATTATAATAATTTATATTTATGTATAATCATCAACTAATATGTACCTAGTTACCTAATTAATTAAGTGTTTTATTAATTTAGAATATTTTTAAACATGAACTTTTGTTATTATTATTGTTACTTATTAAACAACAATTGTGTTAAAATATTGTCTGGTGTTAACTAAGACTCATGATGACCTTAATACCATTCAATAATTCATTTATGGCATAAAAAACACAAAAAATTACTAATTACAATTAACCAACTAATATATTATACAATGAAAAAAWTGTTTTGATGAAATTTTAGAACATTTATACTTTAATGTGTGTACCTTATCTTAAAGTTTTATTATGCCCACAACTTATATAAGTAAAATTTAAAAGACAAAACATTCTGGTTTATAGTTCTGGAAAGGTATTATTTTTAATTTGTAAACTCATAATTATTCTCATGATTAGTGAAAAATAGTTAAACATTTTAAGAAATAATGACCTTAAGTTGTCAAAAATGCAACATAAAACCTATRAATTGTATGTTATTGAAAATATTCTGATATATATGTTATTGAACTACATTTTTAGCTAGAAAAGGAACATTTAACAAATTAAATTGTCATTGACTTCTGAGTCTTACTGATAATACATTTATTAGTCCATTCAGCCCCATCTTCTTCAGAAAGACAACATTCCTCGACCCATATGAATTTGTTTCTTAACACAACATGAAAAATACCTAAGACTGATAAATTAATAATTTCATTATTGCTTACTATAATTTAACTTTCTACCCAAAAAAAWGGTATCATAAAAATCCTTTTATCGCTCATCTGATCACAAAAGTGGACAAATTGAAATTATTAGTGTTCATGTAATGTTTTATTTAGTAATTATATAGCAAAAAAAAATGTTTGAAAAATAATTATTATTTAATAAATGGATTGTACCTTTTTTCCATCTATCAGTAGTAATTATAATTTTTTGTAGTTATCTTATTTAATATTCATCAATGGAGTCCTCTTTAATTTAACAAAACTATGTAGGAAAACAATTGTTTTAAATTTGTTTTATTTATTTTTAACAGTTATTAAGAAAAGTAATTACATGATCTGTCAGTTTGCATCGCCAGTAGAAATTGTGGATATTCACAAACAACCAGAGGTATATAAAATAAATAGTAGTGTTGTTTTGTTACCAGTTTAAAAAAATACAATTTAATTGGTTTTATTTTCAGGCTGTTGTTTTGGAAGGAAAATATTGGAAAAGAAAATTTAATGCAGTGACTGCAGAATACAAAAAATGGAGACTATTTTATCGGAGTTTACTACAAAATGGATTCAAAGAAAGACAAAAATTAGTAATTATTATAACTTTAATCAATATTAGCTATATATTTGTTTGAAAATCTATTATTAAAATTAATATGTTGCTAGTAAGTACCTACATTAGTATAATTTTAAAATTAATTTTAAAGATAATTATTTCACACATTTTTCTAATCAATCAATATTCATCATGTGACTTACTACTAAAAATTTAAATTTAAATTTAAGCCTCTCATTGCTCCTGGCGCATATTATATGCCTCAATGACAGATTACATTGACAGGCCATTGACACATATAATGCGTTCACTAATTTATATTAAAATCTATATAAAAATCTAACAAAAAAATGTCAATACCTAATTTGTAATATTTCCAAAACCGATTTAATATTTTTTATATTGAACTAATTGCTCAGGTACTTGTTATTGATAAATATTTAGAAACCCAGCAATTAAAAAATATTTAAAACTAATTAGCAAATTAAATTATTATTATTATTTCGATATTAATTAGTAATTTAGGAAATTCATTGAAAAAATTGAAAAAATTTCTTGGCCTAGTAGTATAGTATATAATTATTTAAATGCTTGATAATGAAAATTTTAAACATTATAGGTACTAATATTATTATTTTACCTTTTTCACTTCAAAAATTATTTATTTAATACCAAATGTTACTTCTTTTATCTAGTTAAATGTATTCATTTCAACAAATATCTACTTTCTCAATATTAAATAAATAATTTAAAAAAGAAAAATAGGCACAACATTTATTGTTAATTATAAAAAATATTATGATGATAATGATGTTGAATAAACATTTGCTTACCTA